AAACTTTTAGATTGAGAATATATTTTACATACAGTAATAAAAACGAGTGGAAGTTTAAAAAAAAAAAATTTCTCTCAGATATCAAAGTAATTTTTTCATGCATTTTTCATAAGAGCTTTGGTAACATGAACATGTTCAATTACCCTTTCAATGATATCCATGAAACTACTCAACTAGGTACTTATCCAAATTTGGAATATCTGTGTCCATATTGGATTAAGGTTTCCTTTTGAAGTTGTAATGTTTGATAGACAATTGTGTATTAATTTCTCCATAATGTGCCAGATTCATAAAACAAACATGCGATAACCCACCAAACTAGCCCCAGTGATATCTGGAGTGATACTGGAAACAGTGTGAGGTTATCACGACTCCGTCTATTTGAAATAGTCCCCAGTGTGGAGAGGATACATTTCAAGTATCCTGTCTCATAACATGGGGATTCGTTTGGATTGGTGAGTGTTTGTGTTATAAGGTGGGATGGATTACCCATTTGCAAAATTATCTGTGTTTTCTGACCTCTGACTCTAGAGTGACAAAAGGTTCTTATCCTATTTTTTCTGGGTGTGTCAATTTACCTTGCCTCACAGTATTTCAGATTATCACTAAACATTTTCTTTATGGAAAAATTGTTTAAACAGCAATACCTTTATATTCAAATCATAAAAGTAATCTGGAAAAATGTTTGTGCAACATGTCCCTGTTCCCATTTTGATTTCAAATTTAGTAATAATTGTAGTCAATAGCATGTCAATATTAAAATAATTACACAAAAGGTCTCAAAATTCATCTTTTTTCACAAACAGAAGAATCAGGTAGAGATGGTGTAAAATCTATGTCACATACAAAAGTACAGATGGTGTAACATCTATGTCACATACAAAAGTAGAGATGGTGTAAAATCTATGTCACATACAAAAGTAGAGATGGTGTAACATCTATGTCACATACGAAAGTAGAGAAGGTGTAAAATCTATGTCACATACAAAAGTAGAGATGGTGTAACATCTATGTCACATACAAAAGTAGAGATGGTGTAAAATCTGTGTCACATACAAAAGTAGAGATGGTGTAAAATCTATGTCACATACAAAAGTAGAGATGGTGTAAAATCTATGTCACATACAAAAGTAGAGATGGTGTAACATCTATGTCACATACAAAAGTAGAGATGGTGTAAAATCTATGTCACATACAAAAGTAGAGATGGTGAAAATGTATGTCACATACAAAAGTAGAGATGGTGTAACATCTATGTCACATACAAAAGTAGAGATGGTGTAAAATCTATGTCACATACAAAAGTAGAGATGGTGAAAATGTATGTCACATACAAAAGTAGAGATGGTGTAACATCTATGTCACATACAAAAGTAGAGATGGTGTAAAATCTATGTCACATACAAAAGTAGAGATGGTGTAACATCTATGTCACATACAAAAGTAGAGATGGTGTAACATCTATGTCACATACAAAAGTAGAGATGGTGAAAATGTATGTCACATACAAAAGTAGAGATGGTGTAAAATCTATGTCACATACAAAAGTAGAGATGGTGTAACATCTATGTCACATACAAAAGTAGAGATGGTGTAAAATCTATGTCACATACAAAAGTAGAGATGGTGTAAAATCTGTGTCACATACAAAAGTAGAGATGGTGTAAAATCTGTGTCACATACAAAAGTAGAGATGGTGTAAAATCTATGTCACATACAAAAGTAGAGATGGTGTAAAATCTGTGTCACATACAAAAGTAGAGATGGTGTAAAATCTATGTCACATACAAAAGTAGAGATGGTGTAAAATCTGTGTCACATACAAAAGTAGAGATGGTGTAAAATCTATGTCACATACAAAAGTAGAGATGGTGAAAATGTATGTCACATACAAAAGTAGAGATGGTGTAAAATCTGTGTCACATACAAAAGTAGAGATGGTGTAAAATCTATGTCACATACAAAAGTAGAGATGGTGTAAAATCTATGTCACATACAAAAGTAGAGATGGTGTAACATCTATGTCACATACAAAAGAAGAGATGGTGTAACATCTGTGTCACATACAAAAGTAGAGATGGTATAAAATCTGTGTCACATACAAAAGTAGAGATGGTGTAAAATCTGTGTCACATACAAAAGTAGAGATGGTGTAACATCTATGTCACATACAAAAGTAGAGATGGTGTAACATCTATGTCACATACAAAAGTAGAGATGGTGTAAAATCTATGTCACATACAAAAGTAGAGATGGTGTAAAATCTGTGTCACATACAAAAGTAGAGATGGTGTAAAATCTGTGTCACATACAAAAGTAGAGATGGTGTAACATCTATGTCACATACAAAAGTAGAGATGGTGTAACATCTATGTCACATACAAAAGTAGAGATGGTGTAACATCTATGTCACATATAAAAGTAGAGATGGTGTAAAATCTATGTCACATACAAAAGTAGAGATGGTGAAAATGTATGTCACATACAAAAGTAGAGATGGTGTAAAATGTATGTCACATACAAAAGTAGAGATGGTGTAAAATTAACCTTTTGTCACAAACATGAGTGAAATTGGTGGTTAAGTTAATTACAGATTCACATCCACAGTGATACTTAGAGTAATCCATACAGACTATTTATCTTTAAGGTTTGGTAAAATATATTCAGAATTAGTTTTGTCTTGTACAACTTGTGGTTAGCGAATGATACTTTATAAATTCAGTTTTATTCACTTAACAACACACATGGAAATAACAGAGTTTATAGACTACACAAAGCAATGCTGTATATATTTCAAAAACAACATAACAGATATATCAGATCTCTCAAATAATGAAAAAGCTATAGAAAAACCACACACTATACCAGTAGTAACAAATTGTGTTCTATGACACTTGACACCCTCCTCCTCCTTCCTCCTCCAAGAGCCCCTACCTTACACCTTCCCCCCCACCCCACCCACCCACCCCTACCCCCCACTCAAAAAAGAATAAAAAAAATATATACTAAATTGTTTTATTAACATTATTATAATGCCCCAACAAAATTCAAAGCACTAATGCTGCAGAATCACACAAAATAACAATAAACATATATACTGTATATACATTTCATTTAAGGATGAGTTAACGTCTCTATTGAATATTTATTCTGTAAGAAACAAATTTTGAGTTCAACCTACAGCAAACACTGTTGATAATATATAGGGCTACAAAGAGTATAACTTATACTATCTCACTGGACTGTATTTCAACCTTCAAATTCCTCACAATCCAGTCCAGCAGGTTAATGTAAACCGGTATCAATACTACTTCCTGTTCCATCGGTCAATAAAAGTCTTAACAAAAAACCTGTGACAGCCCTACATGTCGTGTTATTGATAATATCATACACAATATTAATCACTACCAGGAAATATTTTTACATTGCAATGTAAATACATACTATGGAGGTTCATTCTCCTGCAATGAAACTACTGATATCGGTTCTGTTAGGTATTTTCATGACAGAGATCAAACAAAGCACCATCTAGTCAATTTATCCTGGAATCTGTGCACAGTATCTAGGTATTAAGTGATAAGAATGATAAAAACTTCCCTTTGTGATTTGACTGTTTTTATGTAAACACCTGAAATTGATTTGGATTAAAAGACAACACCATTCAAAACATTTTTTTTTCAAGGTGGTTGTGATTCAGCGTTGGTTATTCTCACAATCTCCACAGATTAAAGGACTAAAACTTCCAAAATATCTGCCACACTATTCCCTTGTCAAAGGCTAGTTGTAGATACTATTTATCTTTATGGATTAAACGATTTAACATTTCAAAATAATTTTCTAGTCATCAATTGCGTTTAGAAGTTGAAGGTGACTGACTGATATCCTACTAAGGGAAATTTGTTTTTGAAGAAAAGCTATATGTCAACCGGCTATCTAAACACTTTATAAGTTGGTGCAGTGTGGTGTCAGTACCAAGACAATCACACAATCAACACCATGCCACACACTCAGAGACGACTACTGGTCGGAGGAATTTCATTAATCCTATATAATTCTTCAAGTATCCCAGATGCCGAGTGGGCTTATCACTGTCCACCTCAAAATGGGCACTCATTATCTCGAACTACAGGATATTAACTTTTATACAAGCTGGAGTATACATCAATTTGCCACATATCCCAAATCTGTCACAGTTTAACAAGGATCTCTATCAAATAGAAACTCGATGGCAAAAGACAAATCTAGAATTGAAATATTTAACAAAACAAAATAACTATTTATTTGATGAAGTTAGAGTTAAATCCTGCTAAACTTCCCGTTAGTGTTGTTAAAAAACAAGACTTTGGTCTTATTATACAATGTTATCGCCCTATGTAAATAACGGTTGGTGTCAGTCCTTTCCACAATGGTATCTATAAGAGAATTCTAGCAGCATGACTCAAAATATTTCTAGAGCAGTCATCCAATACCATTTGAAAAATTGTAAAGCTATCATTATCAGCTATTTCTGTAATAATTACATGTAATATTTCAGTCAAAGTTGTGTTACCAAGATCGAGCAAAACGTTGTGATCATTGAAACATCACCAAAACCTTAATTGATTATCATACATGTATATCTAAAATGTCTGTAATTCTTTAGTATAATTTAAACTATGTTCACAGTTTTTCTTCATTAATATCAGACAGTTAATCAGGAACTGTACAGCTAGCCATCAGTAAAGATACAGAAAGAAAAAACACACCAAATTCCAATGTACAGGTAACAGACTTTTAAAAATAGTTTGTGAAAAAAATTAGAGGAAAAGATATTTGCAGTATTCAACTGATTATGCATACAAAAAAACATTAAATACTTTGCATGCTTTATCTTGGTATTTTTTCTTCACTCTTTTGATAGTGTTTAAGCTGATGGACATGTTTTTTTTTGTCGTATTCAAAACATTTACTGATCATGAGTAACCTACCCTAGTTCAGGTCCCTCTGGACAGGTCCTGTGGTCAAGTGTCCTGTGAATCAGGTCGCATACTTCTAGTCAACGCCTCCAACTTCAGGGCTGACTTCACCCGGATCTTCTGATTCCCTGGATCCGTCCCTGCATAATGACCTGCACCACCCTCTATAAGATAAAACCTGCTTATAGCAACCACCTCTGTATACAGAGACCTGCACCACCTTCTATAAGATAAAACCTGCTTATAGCAACCACCTCTGTATACAGAGACCTGCACCACCCTCTATAAGATAAAACCTGCTTATAGCAACCACCTCTGTATACAGAGACCTGCACCACCATCTATAAGATAAAACCTGCTTATAGCAACCACCTCTGTATACAGAGACCTGCACCACCCTCTATAAGATAAAACCTGCTTATAGCAACCACCTCTGTATACAGAGACCTGCACCACCCTCTATAAGATAAAACCTGATTATATCAACCACCTCTGTATACAGAGACCTGCACCACCCTCTATAAGATAAAACCTGCTTATATCAACCACCTCTGTATACAGAGACCTGCACCACCCTCTATAAGATAAAACCTGCTTATAGCAACCACCTCTGTATACAGAGACCTGTACCATCCTCTAAGACACAGCCTGTTTATATCAACCACCTCTGTATACAGAGACCTGCACCTCCCTCTATAAAATAAAGCCTGTTTATATAAACCATCTCTATACACAGAATATGTTAAGTTGCCAAGGAGATCACCACCTACTGTCCTATGATGCTAAACACAGAAAAGTCCCTGCACCAACAAGAACAATCCTTGTAAGGCATTACCTGTCTATACTGTCCACTTCTAGAAAGTGAATGATCCCTGTACTGCCAAGAGCAATTGTCTGCAAGACATAACCTGTCTATACTGTCCACCTCTAGAAAGTGAATGATCCCTGCACCAACAAGAACAATTGTCTGCAAGACATAACCTGTCTATACTGTCCACCTCTAAAAATGGATTGTCCCGTAACTGACAATAACAATCCTCTGTTAGACATAACCTGTGTACAGGGATTACCTATTTAGTACAAACCCTGCATTTTGATAACGTATTTATAAAACCTCATAGCATTACTCCATCAATGACTGATACTACTCTCGGTAAGATATATGTCACCTCTCCTGTATATGAACAGTGTTTACATGTTGTTACAAGCATTATCCTCTCTAATACAAATACATAAAGAACTAATAATAATAATAATAATAATATACAACATTTATATAGCGCACTATCTATTTTGACAAAATACTCTAATGCGCTTCACAATTACATAATAATCTTACTACAAAATTTACAGAACATGTATAACACAGTAATCAACATATGTAACACAGTAACCAAATCAAGTAAGTAGTGGTGAAAGTATGTATATACAGGACGTCTGCGTGAGAGTCTAAAATGCAGACGTAAACAGGTGGGTTTTAATATCCCTCTTGAATTTGGCCAGGGATTTTGACTTTCTAGTAGCAGATGGTAAGCTGTTCCACAAAGTGGCCGCTACCTTTCCAAAGCATCGGTTACCATAAGTCACAGTCCGAGAGTTCGGAACGCACAACAAGGATTCTGTCTCCGATCGTAGTGATCGTGACGGCCGATAAACGGTGACAAGTTCCTGCAAATATTCAGGAGCTGTTCCATTTATTGCCTTGTATGTATACATCAAAATCTTGTACTGTAACCGGAATCGCACGGCAGCCAATGCAATAAGTAAAGGACTGGTGTAATGTGGTCCCTCTTTCGAGTACGGGTAACTAGGCGTGCTGCGGTGTTCTGTACCCTCTGCAGGCGGCTCAGTAGTGTATCAGCTACACCAACGAGTAACGCGTTACCATAGTCTAACCTTGAAGTAACAAGAGAATGTACCAATGTCTTGCATGCATCTGTGGTGATGAACTGACGGATACCCCCAATGTTTCTGATTTGGTGATAACAGGAACTGGCAATTGAGTTTATCTGTTTCTCCATGTTCAGAGAGCTATCAAAGTGTACACCAAGGTCTCTCACAGCTTGGACGGCCTCAATAGTTTGGGCATCGACCTTTAACTGGAGACCTTTAGTGTGTTGATACTTGTGGGAAAAGACGATCAGTTCTGTCTTTTCCTGATTGAGCTTGAGCATATTTGAATTCATCCAAGCACTGATGTCATTTAGACAGGCTTCAAGACTTGCTACTATTATGTCCCAGTTGTCTTGAGGTCTGATAACCATGTAGATTTGTGTGTCGTCGGCATAACAATGGTACTGAAGGTTATGACGACGACAAATCTCCCCGACTGGTTTCCAATAAAGACAGTATTTTCTAGGTCCGAGAACGGACCCCTGAGGAACTCCGAAGTCTAAGGTTTTGCTGTCTGAAACAGTTGATCCAATGGCAACGCACTGTCGTCGTTCATTCATAATACATAAACGCCACACTTATAAATAGAATTGTTCCATTATCTACAGAGAAAAAACACTGCATCCATATGTGATTAAAACGAAAGAAAATAATTATGAAGAGAAATTCAAAATTTATAAATTTGAGTAATTCTCTTTTTGTTCTATTTGAGCAACAGCAGCTAGGGTACTTATGACCACTTTAACGGTCCAAGGGAAGTAACTCAAAAATGAAATCTCACCCTTCTGGACAAGGCCAGCTTGCTGTATTGTGTAGGTAAATATTGTAAATGGAGCAATAGGCGACTTGGCAACCATCACCTGTGGAAGAAAATTAAAAAGTTAAACAACCATAACAAATCTCTAAATACAGATGTATTTGACACCTATTTCATGTTTGTGCTCATATCTGTCTCAAAATATCGTTCAAGGTGTGATGATACTTCTGCCCTCGACCATGTATACCTTGTTTTCTCAATATAAGGACTGAATAAATTTCACATTTTTACCATAAATCTTAATCATTTAGCATCAGATGATTCATACTCTGATACCACATACAAGATACATAATTTTTCCTGCACCAGGTGTGCCCTGGTAATTGGTTTTCTAAATTGTGAAAATGATTTCTGAATTATTGACATGTTAGAGAAAAATAGGAGAAATGTTTGAAATTATTTCATTTTGAGTAATCAAACAGAACACCATGAAGGAGTGTATTCAGGTATAAATTAATATAATACACCATTTGAATAATGTAGTTTCATTAGACTGTTATTGGAATAAAAAATATTTTACACCATTAAAAAAAACAACAAAAAACAAAATCTGACACAACAATTAAAACAATAAAAAGTCTGCAAAATAAAAATCTACTTGAAATTAAACTGAAAATCTTAACGACAAAAAAATCACTGTTTCCATGCATAAAAAAAATGTTTCCTAAGAACAAATAATTTGCTTAAACAAATGCATACAAGAAAAAATGGAAAAAATTTGATATCTTTAAATGTCAATCTCTACCAGAGTTGTCCTTCCTTAACAGTCACAATACACCTCTGTAAATGCCTCACAGACTATCAAAAGCTGACCTTGTGGTCAGGGTCAAAATTTGATGTCGTGAATAATTATGGTGGCATTCCTGATAACACCACCGAAAGACACAGCTGTACACTGTTGTTCTACTCAAATTTGTTCTTCTGCAATGTAATCACTAATGCTTATAACCATATAAAGTAATGTAGTCATTTTCCATATGAACAAAAGATCTTTTTTCAAAATTATGATACCAAAATCAAAACAGGAAAATCACGAAATGGTTTATTATTTTTCAAGTTTCTCGAAAGGGCATGATCTATATACAGAGGTGTTACTGGGGTATTGCAATGCACTCTGGCAGAGATTGTGTAAATGTATTTGAGGATGAGTAAGAGAATGGGGTCTCTTTAAATGTATACAAAAATGAGTGAGAGAATGGGGTCTCTATAAATGTACGAGGGTGAATGAGAGAATTTGACACTAGTCTTATTCCACCTACCTGTCTCTCAATGTCTGTGAGATATTGAAGGATAAGTCTTGTGTTTACACTGTGGCTCCAAGTATTACCCAGGGCTGTTGTTACATACCCACTGTCACCATCTAGCTGTATGTCTGTCAGATATAGAAAACAGACTATGTAACCATGCAGCTGTGTCACTGTCAACACAGTAAAAAACACACAATGTTGTCATCCATACATCCAATATATTGCTTCAAAATGTAACACTAGAAAACATCTGTAAGACAAAAAATCCTTTTCTCCCATGCATATCCTATGTGTTTCTGATGGGACAGGGAGAGGATGCACTGGGACAGGATGTGATGGGACAGGGTGCGATGGGACAGGGACAGGTTGGGACAGGATGTGATGGGACAGGATGTGGTGGAAGAGGATGTAGTGGGACAGGATATGATGGGACAGGGACAGGATGTGATGGGACAGGGACAGGTTGGGACAGGATGTGATGGGACAGGATGTGGTGGAACAGGATGTAGTGGGACAGGATATGATGGGACAGGGACAGGATGTGATGGGACAGGATGTGGTGGAACAGGAAGTAGTGGGACAGGATGTGATGGGACAGGGATAGGATGTGATGAGACAGGATGTGATGTGATGGGACAGGATGTGATGGGACAGGATGTGATGGGATAGGATGTGATGGGACCGGATGAGATGGGACAGGATGTGATGGGATAGGATGTGATGGGATAGGATGTGATGGGACAGGATGTGATGGGACAGGGACAGGATGTGATGTGATGGGACAGGATGTGATGGGACAGGATGTGGTGGAACAGGATGTGATGGGTCAGGATGTGATGGCACAGGGACAGGATGTGATGGGACAGGATGTGGTGGAAAAGGATGTGATGGGTCAGGATGTGATGGCACAGGGACAGGAATTAATGGAACAGCTAACCTGATCTTTACCTTAGTTAGCAACAGCTTACTTGAGTTAGACACCTTACTTGTTGACCTTAGTAAGACTGCTTACCTGATGTTTTGCCTGAGTAAAACACATTACTTGATGTTTCACAAAAGTAAGACTGCCTACTTGATGTTTTTTCTTGAGATAGACACATTACCTGATGTTTTTTCTTGAGATAGACACATTACCTGGTGTTTTTTCCTGAGATAGACACCTTACCTGATGTTTTTTTCCTGAGATAGACACCTTACCTGATGTTTTTTCTTGAGATAGACACCTTACGTGATGTTTTTTTCCTGAGATAGACACCTTACCTGATGTTTTTTCTTGAGATAGACACCTTACCTGATGTTTTCCCTGAGATAGACACCTTACCTGATGTTTTACCTGAGATATACACCTTACCTGATGTTTTTTCCTGAGATAGACACCTTACCTGATGTTTTCCCTGAGACAGACACCTTATCTGATGTTTTTTCCTGAGAAAAACACCTTACCTGATGTTTTTTCCTGAGATAGACATCTTACCTGATGTTTTTTCCTGAGATAGACACCTTACCTGATTTTTTTTCCTGAGATAGACACCTTACCTGATGTTTTTTCCTGAGATAGACACCTTTCCTGATGTTTTTTCCTGAGATAGACACCTTACCTGATGTTTTTTTCCTGAGATAGACACTTTACCTGATGTTTTACCTTAGTAAGACACATTACCTGATGTTTCATCTTAGCAATTCTGCTGACCAGGTGAGTTATTTCGACACCCAAACAAACAAACAGATCTTACCGGTGGTCTCTTCTGCACTGGACATACCATGCTGTCTGTCGTATCTTGTTGTAATCTGATTGGTGACAACCACCTATAAGCATACAGAACATGATTAAAATATCAAACTGGTTTACAGGATGATTTTTAAAGCATTCTCTAAATGTTCATACTCAGCTTTAACTATTTTGATCGATATTTTCCTTTAATTTTCATCCCTAAACCTAATTTTCTCATTTGCTAAAATACTATTGTTATCTAAAACATTTACAGTTTTTTTCCTTTCAATAAATGACATACAGGTATGGAGAAAGTCTCAGCGATGTACTTGAGCAGTGCAGCTTGCTGGGACAAGAAGTTGGTGCGATCTGTTAGGTTCTGCCCAAGAGATGTGCTGTACTCCTTCCTCACCAGAGATGCCATTGAGTCGACAATAACTAACTTTATCTTCTTCTGTATAATCTCCTCCTCAATTGTCTGCAATCTACAACACAAAATTTCTCTGTTCAGACAGGACAAAGGTGATTGTCATCTGGACCCTGAAGCCATGACAGAATTTGTAGTATTCCTCATGCATACCAAGTATACAATTGATGTCACCTTGACATTGGAAACATGAGAGTATAGCATATTCCTCATGCATATTCAGTATCCAATGTTGACATTACCTTGACCCCTGAGACATGAGAGAGTAATAGTATTCCTCATGTGTTCTCAGTTTCCAATATTGATGTCACCTTGACCCTGGAGGGAGATATGAGAAAACATTGCTACATTTATCAGATCTAAATATCAATATTTCAGAAGCACTATTAATTTGAATTTGAATCCCTTGTTCTGACCAAAAGTTACACTTGACCTTGAATGTTTTGAAACTAATCAGATTGGACCACAACCTGTACTGTTACTCGGTATACCTTCATCTCCCATATCATACCACTCATTTTTTTTACCTGGAGAGGAGTTAGGATTAGACATACGATAGGACAGACAACAGAGAGTAACATGTCCTATTGTTGGACAGTCCCTGCTATATCACACAGAGGACTACTGTGGGACAGTCCCCACTATATCACACAGACAGAGGACTACTGTGGGACAGTCCCCACTATATCACACAGACAGAGGACTACTGTGGACAGTCCCCACTATATCACACAGACAGAGGACTACTGTGGGACAGTCCCCACTATATCACACAGACAGAGGACTACTGTGGGACAGTCCCCACTATATCACACAGACAGAGGACTACTGTGGACAGTCCCCACTATATCACACAGACAGAGGACTATTGTGGGACAGTCCCCACTATATCACACAGACAGAGGACTACTGTGGGACAGTCCCCACTATATCACACAGACAGAGGACTACTGTGGGACAGTCCCCACTATATCACACAGACAGTACTACTGTGGGACAGACTATATCACACAGACACTGTGGGACAGTCCCCACTATATCACACACTACTGTGGGACAGTCCCCACTATATCACACAGACAGAGGACTACTGTGGGACAGTCCCCACTATATCACACAGACAGAGGACTACTGTGGGACAGTCCCCACTATATCACACAGACAGAGGACTACTGTGGGACAGTCCCCACTATATCACACAGACAGAGGACTACTGTGGACAGTCCCCACTATATCACACAGACAGAGGACTACTGTGGGACAGTCCCCACTATATCACACAGACTACTGTGGGACAGTCCCCACTATATGTGGACTACTGTGGGACAGTCCCCACTATATCACACAGACAGAGGACTACTGTGGGACAGTCCCCACTATATCACACAGACAGAGGACTACTGTGGGACAGTCCCCACTATATCACACAGACAGAGGACTACTTAGGACAGCTAGTCCCCACTATACACTGAACTTAAATGTATAACAAGCATGCTTTATTCCATCAGTGTAATAAAGACCCTGATATTTACCTTTTCATTAGACTAGCACATGTTTGTTGTGTATCCACAAACACCTGACTGGTTAGTTCTACCAGCTTTTCTTCCACACAGAGGTCGGGATGCTTGGCCTGGGCAATCTCTACAAGTCTAAAACATCAAAATATATACAAAATCATGTAAAATATTTAGCAGTGGAATAATCAGATTAAATTCTATACAGTTGTTTTACATTTTGTAGTTATAATGTTAGAATACATTAATGGAATCATTGAAGTGCTGTTCACAACATTGAATGATACATACAGACCCAAGGCAATTTTTCAAGTACTTTTGATTTCTTTAAGTTTAAACTCAACAGCTATCCCTACAAAACAATATTAAAAAAATTATCAAAGTACTGAAAGGACTGAAATGAGAAAACGTGGTTGGTATTTTGTTAAGTAGAAAATGTAAAGAGGCACATATAGTATACATATCTGAAAACAGAAATGTGCCTTCATCATTTACTTATTGTAAGTAAGTCACATTAAAAAATTCTACTGTTACCTGCTCTTGTTAATAGGTATTTGGTATATTGCACCTCCTCTTATTATGATCAATGTGTACACAAAGTTTCATTATCCTATTTCTAATGCAAGCAAAGTTATCTTCTGGACAAGAATTTTTTAACAAAGGACAATAACTCTGTAACTGAATGGTAAAGGGCCCTGAATTTGGTACAATGCACATCCTGTTTGTATGATCAATGCATACATCAACTTTTATCATCCTAGATTAAATGCAAGCAACTCAAAGTTAATCTCTGGACATGAAATTTAATAAAGGGAAATAACTCTGTTATACAGGTGTCAAGAGCCCTGAATTTGGTACAATGCACATTGACTAAGCATGACCAATGTATATACAACTTTTCATGATCCTCACTTAACTGTGGGAAAAGTTATGCTCCATGTGAAATACATTATGTAAAACAGCAAATTGTCCACAAACAACTTTGCCTTTTGCAGGAAATATAACTTGAAACAAACCAGTGGATGGATGGATACATTCAGACAGACAGATATCTTGAATTTCAAACCAGACCAAATGAACAATTCCAATATGCAACCCTTTCAACTTTCTAAACGGCCCACAGGTAATCAAAATCTGCTTCAATTCTGCTTCTTTTGGTGACAATGCACAAGTTATCTCTGATTAATGTGATACCCGGTGAACACAAGGCCACATTGCTGTATATAGTGGACTGGAGACCATTTTCACAAGCTACTTTAGGTGTCACAGACTGGCAACTGAAGTGAAATGTTATAATTCCTTCCAGTAGTACTAGGTAGATGCTAATGCCTTCATGAACAACATTTCCAATTTTGTAAATCTATGCAGTTAAGGAAGAGAAAATGTTTTGGCTTAATGCCTTATTCTTGAATATTACCTTTCTGCACTGAATGCTGATTCTGTATCGATGTACAAGACATTTCCAGCAAGTCCACCAAGTTCCAATGAAAGTGTACATTGTACACTCAACATCAGACAGAACTGGGTCTTACCACAGCCAGCTGGACCAGATATCTGTACAAACAACAAACTTGATGGGCAAACTGATATGATAAATTTTCATCAATATCATTCAGAATTTATTGTTATCTGTAGACTGAAAATCACTTCTTTTCACTGTACATGTATAATGTACAATTCAATGTAAACAACAACTTGAAGTTGTTTCATGTGATAAGGAATTATCAGGTTTCTAAAATAATATATTTGTTTACTGTATTTTTCAGTAAGAGTTAACTCCCTTTCAACATACTGCATAAAATGCACATGGCCTTACCTCAGTAATAGTGCCCACTGGTATGCCTCCATGGAGCACCTTGTCTAGGTCTGGGAGGGAGGTCTGAAAAAAATGACAACCCTTCTCCTTTCTCTTTTTCCATAATTCTAAACACTGCAACAGACAATCAGTATAGCATACTAACATTGTATGACAGCACTATCATTAAGTTCCACCTATAACACTATCAATGAAATTTATTAAACATAAAGGTATAAATGTGGAATTTAAAAAAATGAGTGAGTTAATAAACTTGACAAGATTTTTCTATTTTCTAGAGAAGGAAATAATTTGATATATTGACACAAACTCACAGTCTGAGGTTTTGGAGCACAAGATTTGCTGCACAGCTCTACCACTTCATCCACTTTGTAGATACTGAGACCAAGAAATTTAAGGAGTTCCAACTTTGTTTTTGATAGTAAATCCTGAAAATATTGCATCAGAATTAAGACCTTTTGTTTTTGAATTCCTGAAGTCTACTGTGTATTACATTTTAATGTGCACAAAATACTGATATGAATTATCAATGACTGTGATGACTTAATAGTAAGTGTATTTATTACAAACTACAGCACATAACCCAAACATGATGCTAACCAATTATCAAAATCCTAGGGATTCTGGTAAATGAAAAAAAGTTGTGTGGAGATTTTGACTCATTTGCCTGACACCTAAAACCTCAATTCAGAAAGGTACAGATCAAATATCTTGACCCAGCTGGGCCTTTCAGTTACTCAAGAAAGCTGTTTGAAAATCTAAAAACATTTGACCAATGTGATCTCAAAAGTTGGTCAGGCTACTCCCTGGTAATTCATTTGAATAAAATTGAAAGCTTATGATCCCAGTAAGCCAACAGAAATATCAAGAGAAGTTACTTTCTTTCTTTTTAAACCAACTTAACCCAAAGCCTAGCTGTGACCATGAAAGTTGGCAAAGGTCATTATTTGAGCAAAGTGGAAATGCCTTTAACATCAGCATGCAACTGATCAAATACTATGACTCTTAACTTTCTGAGTGTTGAGAAGATTTTAACACATATGACCCATTGTCATTAAAGGAGACTTGGGCTTCATTTATATGCAATAAATTTGTTACAGTGTCATTGCCAAAATTATGTTTTCTAATATATTTTTTTTAGAATACATGAATTATAAAATGATAATAAACGAAGTATATATTTGCATACATAATATTTTCAACTGATCATCTTGACTTTTCTAAGATTGAATTCCTGTATCAATCGATCAGATATTTGTGCATGCACATGTAGTTTTCAATAATAAATCATCAGAACAACATTAATTTTCACATATACTGACTCACATCAAATATGGAAAAGATCACAGTTATACGTACAATATACCCAATAAATATGATATAATCAAACATCAGAATGTAGTGTACATAACCAACAATGACAGTGTTACATGTGTATTAGTATACACTACAGAGTACATAAAGCATAAACAAAACATAAAAAAGGGGTGTCATACTTTTGACATGGACCAATAACCAATGCAACATGATGACATTGTGCATTTTTATATAAAAAGTGAAAAATCCTTTTTTACAATAAAAAAAACTCCTCCGTTGCTTTCAGTGTGATTGAACACATGCAAGTCCATGCTCACATATGGCATACATTATATGCAGTTATTGGAGAACAAATTCGGTGATTTAAATTTGCATTTTAACGCAAAATTATCTAACAGTAACGAATATGGATATTTACATTCAGTCTAATGTAACCTTGGCTGTACATGTATGATCTGTCTATCAATCTATTGGGTCATGTTTAAAAAAAAAGTTAAAAAAGGTACTTTATGGGTTTCGATTTCAAATGATTCTGCACTTAATTAATTAACTCATTACACAAATAAGTAACTATGCCTGAAATACAGGGTTATTGCCCATCTGCGGGGTTGTGTCTAACCTGTAGAATATCTAAGATCAGCTTAATATATCAGCTGATTTTTAGAGTACGTCGACGTGTGATCATGAATGAAAATGATGCAAATCGATATATAATTCGAAAAAAAAAACGTGAATCAACCTTGCATGAGTGAATATTGTTTTTTGACAGACAATCCAATGCTTCTTTGCTGAGACCGACTCTTCGTAATCGTTTGGATGACATCTGTCATTGCATGTCTCATCTAACTACAGGTAGGAAAGATGAAAACAAATTCGGCGCCACTGTCATACAAATGCTTGAATCTGTGTCAATTGCGCGCTTCTTTCTTAAATTTGTTAAGGATGCTTGTCCAGTGAATCGTAGAAAAAATGAACCATATCTAAAATTTGCACATTCTTTATATATATATTGTCTTAACATGTTACGTTACAGGGATGTATAATCCTTTTATATATTACACAAACACGTAGTCATCACTTCTCGACCATTCTCTTTCCCATTGACTTTACTTTAAAAAAATGGACACTATAATTGTTAGATTATGGAATAATTTAACAATCACTGTCAGGGAGAAGTCATCCATCAAATCCATTTAAATCGGAAGGTCAACACAACCATAGTCTTTTAACCATCTATTATTATATTGGAAATAGAAAGTTGGGCGTAAGATTAGTTTCGAGAAAATATTATTGAAGGTCCATGGGTGTGCATGCAAGTGGTAATGAAGAGGGAAAAGGTGTACATTACTTTTTATTGCTTAATATGACATCGTGAAATTTTATTTGATAACATTTCTAATTATTTGAACGCCGCAATATTAATGTACTTCTCCATGGTTCTCAAAACCTGTCAGGTGAGGAAAAAGTGAATCTTTTTCAATCCGTTCGGACTATTATCAAAACAGTAATCGGTTTTTGACGAGGTCATTTCATTTAAAAGAATTCAGTACAAGTTACTTTTCTCTTCCTTACATCTTCCGTGGTTTTTCTCTATCTATATTATTTGTTTATCTTTCCTCTACTTAAACCGATATAAATAAGGTGATATAGTGGCGCAGTGGTAACATATTCGCCATTCACTGGCGGTCAGGTGTTCGATTTCTGGAACGAAACTGAATAAAGTATGGGATCGCCTGTATACCTTGTTTTCCACGGGTACTCTTAGTCTGGTTTCCTCTCACAGTAAAACCCTCGCGCACTTCCATGAAGGTCAAAAAGAATTATTAATATAAAATCGAAAAAGTTGTTTTGTAATTGCTGTAAAATAAATAAAGTTTATTTATTCTTAAATATATACATGTAGAAAACCGGATTTGATCAAAGTGTATAATATTGAAGATATTGCACATATGTGCCATGTAATTTTTCGGAGAAAGTGTCTCCAAGTTATGCCTACCCCTATTTGTTAGATCGAACAAATTAAATACGTTTAAATCAACCCGATTACCGGAGACATATCTATAGTGTAACGTAATGGAATACTTTGTCAATGGCAAGCAGTAAATATGTACAAAAGCACGACCCTACATCAACATGATGCACCGAATATATTGATTAAAATCGTGCCATTTTGGGAAATTATAAATTTCCTGTTTACAACGATTCCTTAATATTTCATCTTTCGCGTAAATTTAATTGAAAATTATTCATAGCGGAAATTAACATCTAGATATGCAAACCATCTTGAAATTGCGTCGCTATCGGCAATTTTACCGCTAAATTCTAAAACTTATTGCATAGTTTTACTCATATCTTCCCGTCATTAAGTACAGGTACAAGGCTATTGCGAAAATATATCATTTCAAATCCCGCGATATCTATCGCGACGTCACAACGTTATATTATGACGTCATAGCTTACTATGGAACCAAGTTGCCGGATGAAGAAAAGATATGTCGGAAGCACAGTTGGAGGAATATGACATTCCGACATTTGATGATAATGGCGACGAGGAAGTGAAGAAAGACTTGTTGTCAAATACGTAATTTATGATATTCAGCTGACCAAGTGACAGCACTTTAATAGTTTGATGGAATTTTAAATGTCACATGAAGAATGAGCATGTTTTAGAAGGAAAAAAAATATGATGTTATTTTCCAATAATTCTACATAATAACATTCTACTTAATGCAACGATTTATGAATTCGCTATTTGGTAAATGTTTGTATCTACAATTCAATATGTAGGCTTAGTATGTAACGATTATAGTTGTAAACTAATTATCATCGTCAACAACATATTTACAGAAGCTCCTCCTCCGTCACGTCAGATGTGTCAAATGGGAAACGTTCACGAGAGGGATCTGACAAAAATGCAGATGCAGACACCGATCTGGAATTGGAAGGTATTGATCAAATATGTACAAAAAGAAATATTGGTATATAATACTCCACTTCTGTCTCGATTCGTTTTTCATGTTACGTTATTTTCTAATTGAAATATAATTTCATTTTTTATCTTCTAAAAAATTTTGTTTTGTTTTATGTTGTTGCTACTTTTGACGTCTCCTGACGTCCGATTTTGATACCTGCCACACATCATTGGCTGTATTCTGTCAGTGACGGAAAACGACTGTTTTTAACAGTACAATAATTCACCGAAATAACACTTTTATTTCAAGATCACTTAAATTATTTATTTGATTGTTATATATGCATATATAATTGTTGAAATAATTTATGCTCAGTATTGGACATGATTTTTCGGAAACTTAAGAAAACTGCTCCAGTTTAGCACTTGATTTTAGCACAAGGTGAACTGCGTTTAAATTAAATCTTGATATTATGTTTATCAAATTTTTATCCGATCGACGGGTCGTCAGTTCTCATTCCGTGTTAAAAGTTCGAGAGAGTTGTTCAAAGCGATCACACGGATTTTGATAGTTGTGTTGTCTTTAACCACTTTCAAAGTCCACACACAGCACCATACAGTAAAGCTTTCACTGCGCACGCTATCAATGTTAGTGATACAGAGACTGAAACAATACACAAATGAGTACAGGGCGATATTTTCTGTTACAGAAGAGAAGAAATCGGCCTTTGATTTGACTGGACGTGCCCTGTACTTGTCAGTGTGTAAGAGTCTAGGCGTCATCCCTGTGTCGTACTTTGTGCGACACATGCAGGACACAACAATAAACATGAGACATCATGGACTGGGCAGTTTGGGTGCAAAGGCGCTGGCTCCTCCCCTTATGGTAAACTGTTACGTAATGATACATGTTTAAGATTACTATCAATGTGTAGCGAATATACACACCTTCTACACCATTCTTTCTTTTTTTTTGTTTGTTTGTCAGATATCAGACATTAAATGTTTACTTGATTTTCCAGTGTATCAATAATCTGCATTCTGACTCTTCTTTCATCATCTCTATTTAAAGCGAATGTCACATGGCGATATCGCAGATATCTTACTCTATTCCTAAGCAAAGGAAATTACAATGAAATGAATATTATAGAGAAAAAATACTTATCAATAATGGTAATGTGGATTTGTTTTATATAAGGAAGAAAAATATAAATCATAATTCATATGCAGTGATTGAGCGGATGTGGCGTTCTATTACTTTGGTTGCCATGGCCTGCTAATAATCTAAAAGTGAACCTTATTCAATATTCAAGATGTTTTAAAAAGTAAAGTGAATGACAATTTAACATCAGTATTCTCTATTACATCAGATATAAAGTCATGGTTGTGTGTAACATTTACAGACATGTTTTACGTATACATACTTCATGTATTGAGCAAAAAATAACACAAACATGTATTGTGAAAAGTAAAAAAAAAAAGGATGTAATTTTGAAAATGATACCATATTACATGTACTGACATTTCGAACCTCAAACTTACAGAAACGTGTGTATTGATTCTTGTAGCAAAGCACATAGACTTGTATGTACCAACATTATTATATAGCAATGGAGAAACAATATATCAAATTGTAGTAATCACGCTAATGTGGGCCAACATGAAGAGGGAAAAACCAAGGTACCAACGGGAGACGAAGTAGGTGATTCAACACTTTCTGGCGTCCATCGTTTCATGAACTTAGTCGGAAATATCACTACCTTTTTGCGTTTTGTGTCTTCTCACATTATCGTTCATAAAGAATAAAGAATTTAAGTTCATGTTGTTATACAAATATAAATGTATTCAAATATTGTGTAATTTTTCAAATTAGTATTAACGTTTGGATTATAACTTTGATTTCAGAATAACACAACAGTTTTAACACTAGATCTTCAGGATAATTGGCTGGAGGGTGAAGGCGGGGAATATATAGCAAAAATGTTGAAAGAAAACTGTTACATCACCGACCTGGTAAGTCTGGTAACCACGTGAGGTATTTCTGGGGATTCAGTATTGCCTGTTTAATCATGTTGACAGTTATCTGAAAATATCACTTGGCTTGACATACTGTAGTAACAAGTAGATTAAGTTAAACTGATAAATCATGTACTATTGTTTTTCTTTCAGGATATTTCAGAGAATCGTCTGGGCAGTCGGGGAGCCGTGGCCATCTCTAACATGCTAACAATAAATATCACGCTCAAATCCATAAATCTAGCAGGTACATGAAAACAAAAGTTGTGATATATTTGAGAAAAAAAGCGTGTTTTATTTCAATTTCAAAGTTTTTCCTGTCATAACTTGATCAGGTCATGTCTTGATAACCATATCTCATAAAATCCACCATCGATCGTTAGAGGGTGTTAACTGTTCCAAAGTAATGATTATCATTATTTATAATGTCTTTGAGGCATTCATCTTGAAACAAAGTATTAACAGTTATGACATATTTGTTTGCAGGTAACCAGTTTTCTGATGTCGATGCTCCTGCATTAGCCGAAGCTTTTTATGTGAGTCTACACAGCTCGTCTGGAGACTTTCGTTTTGCAGTAGAAAACGTTTATGCGTGTGTTGATTTTTCTTGTGGTTACATGAAGTTATTTAGGAAGATCATAATAGGATATAGCATGTACATATAACATTAAGTAAGATCATAACGTTTTTGTAAACAACCCGAATGTATTATGTAAAGAAATCTATTGCTAACATACGTCTTTGAGTAACATGTATAAAAAAAAGCGTGAAATAACTGCTAATGCAAACTTTCTTCGCAGGAAAATAACAGACTGAAGAATATCAATTTAAGTCATAATTGTTTTTCTGATGGATGTGGGAAAATTTTAGGACACGCTATTGGTAAGTCTATCATAAGAAATGCTCGGGACAGGAGTTAAGTACGAGTTGTCTCCCATGACGCGATCAGCGGCGTCGTTTGAAAGTGGAGATATTGCACTCCTCCAATATATCATATTGCTCCTGTTGACCACTGGGTGACCACTAAACTAGTCTATACACTCGAGTGACGACCAGGTCAGTCTACATCCCAAAGTGAAGGTGGCCATAAGGTGACCATCAGACCAGTCCATACACTCGAGTGACAATTAGACCAGTCTATATCCCAAAGTAAAGATGGCTACAAGGTTCTCTACCTAGTTACCACAAGTCCAGTCTACAACTCATGGTTCTCTGGCTAGTTACCACAAGTCCAGTCTACATCTCATGGTTCTCTGGCTAGTTACCACAAGTCCAGTCTACATCTCATGGTTCTCTGGCTAGTTACCACAAGTCCAGTCTACATCTCATTGTTATCTGGCTAGTTACCACAAGTCCAGTCTACATCTCATTGTTATCTGGCTAGTTACCACAAGTCCAGTCTACATTCCATGGTTCTCTACCTAGTTACCACAAGTCTACATCCATGGTCTACCACAACATCTACATCTCATGGTTCTCTGGCTAGTTACCACAAGTCCAGTCTACATCTCATGGTTCTCTGGCTAGTTACCACAAGTCCAGTCTACATCTCATGGTTCTCTGGCTAGTTACCACAAGTCCAGTCTACATCTCATGGTTCTCTGGCTAGTTACCACAAGTCCAGTCTACATCTCATGGTTCTCTGGCTAGTTACCACAAGTCCAGTCTCCATCCCATGGTTCTCTACCTAGTTACCACAAGTCCAGTCTACATCTCATGGTTATCTGGCTAGTTACCACAAGTCCAGTCTACATCTCATGGTTCTCTGGCTAGTTACCACAAGTCCAGTCTACATCCCATGGTTCTCTGGCTAGTTACCACAAGTCCAGTCCAGTCTACATCTCATGGTTCTCTGGCTAGTTACCACAAGTCCAGTCTACATTTCATGGTTCTCTGGCTAGTTACCACAAGTCCAGTCTACATCTTAAGGTTCTCTGGCTAGTTACCACAAGTCCAGTCTACATTTCATGGTTCTCTGGCTAGCTACCACACGTCCAGTCTACATCTCATGGTTCTCTGGCCAGTTACCACAAGTCCAGTCTACATTTCATGGTTATCTGACTAGTTCCACAAGACCCAGTATATGTTGTAAGGTTACCTCCAAGCCAATTTATGTCCTACGTGTCTGTCTTGACGATATTGGAATTTGACCACACCGTGTTCCATTAGATAACCAACGACAGAAAGTTCGTCATACATCGAGATAACTACCAACTCTACATTTTAATGGCGAAAGCGATGAATAAATCCAGGTAGAAAGACGATAGCGATGACTATAATTTTTAATTTCTAATAAATTTCAAAAGAAAAAATTACATAACAGTCGTTTAAGTGTGCAAGTGGAATAAAACCAATTGTTCTAAGATGTCAGTTTGTTTTTTGACATGTAATGTGGTGTTAGGAGTTCAAAAGGTGTGTCAAAAATACGTATACAAGAATACCAGGTAAATACATTGTATGTGAATGGTGTTTTCCTCACATTTACAGTTTTTTTTCGTGTATATAACAATTTTTAAAATAAATTTGTTATATCTGTTTTCTCTGTACTTAAATAGGCGAGAATGAGACGATAGAGATAATCGACCTTAGTTGGAACTTCTTTCGGAAATCAAGTTTAATGGAAATTTGTGATGGCATTGCGGTATGTTTTCCCAAATACAAGTTTATCTACTGTAAAAAAGTTGAATTGTATTTTGTTTTCAATATGCCCATTTCCTATTCCCGTGACCCGTAAATTATACAATACACTACATAGCATTGTTGTTATGAGAACGCTTTCCCTCCTCATTGCAAAGAAAAGTCAGTGCTTCTGACCTTCTCGTATGTAGAATAAGTGTGTCCTGTTACAATAATGATGATTCTCTACTGTTCAGGGTAACTGTCGTCTACGAGATGTCAACCTCTCAATGAATGGGTTCGACAATGAAGGCGCTTTTGGAGTGGCGGATATCATCAAAAAGAACAACACGATAACAACTTTGAACATCAGCGGCAACAGAATAGGTCCCATTGGAGCCGTATTGATAGGAAAGGCGCTAGAAGTCAACGATGTACTTATCAAATTCATAGTGAGTGATTCTTATTGATGATGAGCTGTTTCAAAGTCGTTTTGAAGTTAATATAAAGATTTGTTGAACGAAAATCAACATTTGAATACCGTCATATGAACGAAACATAATTCGAATTCAAAATTATGCTGGTACACGGGCAAAAACAATACATACCAGTACACGTGGATAGATGAAACAGTACATGTAGTACGATCTGTTTGTTCAGAAGGGAAAGCGTATTTTTTCATCGGCGATACCAGCCATGTAGATAAAGGTAAATGCTAAATGTTAAGTTCGCAAATAAAAAACCAAGGTGGTAGCAGTACAGACTGACGTGTTAATAAGTATAATCAAATACAGAGAAATGTTCTCATTCAGATCATGGCGGTTAAAACACTGTAAAAATGCTGATGACGAATTGTATAGTTTTCATCAACCTGTATCTCTAGAATTCGTTTCTAATGATGTCCGTCAGTGTTTGGGCATTATTCACGGAAAAGCGTAATATTTGTTACAGCACTGAAAATATCGAGTCAACGACTACATGTAATAAACACAGAGAGTTTGAGCGAGCAGATATATTACTGTTGATTGACGATATAAGAATCGAAATCATTTTGTAATTATAAAATTCAAAAGTTGATCGTCGCCGCTGGCCAATAATAAAGCGATTAGGATAAACGGTTTTGGAATGGAAGGCTTGTTTCGTTTACCGTTCAATGTATCTGCCGTGTTTGCTGTACTAGATGTCTAGGGCATGGTATATTTACAGAGTGACGTAACGATACTCAAATGACATGAATGAAAAGTATTCATTTTTACTGCGCGTCTCTGACCAGTTGGAAAGAATATCACACGTACATGCGTATATATTGAAAACTGTTGGTTACGTTGCACAGATTGAGGGCAGAGACTGATACTGGAAAATGAAAATAGAATATAGTTATATAAGTGAACGGAGTAAGATATATGCGATTTGAGTCGGCAGATATTTTGTATATCGAACGTGGAGTTGAACAATTTGTTTACTTTGTTTTGAAATTCACCTACGGTGCTCATATGTCTGGAAACCAATGGCTTTCAATTTTTGAACATTGATATTACAAACACCATCGAAATGATACCAGTTTCCGACTTTGAACGTATTAATCTAATATATCTTATAAACATTGAGCTATAATCACAGCTGACTAAGTGGATGTAATTCAAATTCAGATTGTTCATCTAATGTACTGATACTTATTAAGTAAATATACATATACGAATACTTATATACAACGTCACTCATGTACAGAACAAGACATACAAACTAATTTTGAAACCGTCAATGCGACTGTACTGATCTCATAAAATTTACAAAACAATTAATTTTCACAGCAGTAGCATCTTTATAACATCATTTTGACCTTCAATAAACTAACTTTGTTAAGAAATTTCGCGTGATTGAGTTTAATTTTAGATCAATGTCTCTAACACTATGTTCTGTTGTGCTGTAAATTTGTTTTGATATCGATTGTCCAAATTTTTCATGTCGTCTACCGTGATAGGATGTTGAAACAAATAGAAGAAGGAGGATTCATAGATGATATGACATCATATACATGTACCTATATTTGAAAAAATTGTTTATATTAATTAACTTTTGATTTTTTTTTCTGTGTATATCAGTTTGCTAACAACCCTATAGGCGTGGAAGGTGCCAAGGCTGTCCTCAGAGGTGTCAACAATGAAAACAGTATCGTCACTTTTCTGGACCTGTCGGTAAGTCAGTTAAGGGCAGTTTAAACCTGGGACGCCATGGCGTCAAAATGAGCTTAAATTTTTTTTTACTGTGGTACGTCACTAAATTAACCATTCTGGTGAAAAATTAACGGACTTTGCTGATGAAATTGTGTAACGTTTCCCGTTCTTTAATTGATAAGTTAAACTCCATGTTAAATGTAGTATTATCATTTTTATCACGTGATTACCCTGATATGGATGTAATGGCATCGTTGCATTATGACTTATGTTATGGACATTTGTGTTATACATATGTAAATCCGATAGATCAGCTGTTATCGACTGAAGGTATCAATTATTTCAGTTGTGATGTCATAATTTGATGTCGTCAATTATGACGCCACATATGAAAGTGTAATGGATGAAGGATACGGCAGAATTAGAGTTTAAATCAGTCAAATATTATGTTACACAAATTACTTCAAAAGTATGAACGTTTTGGAAGAGTAACATAATCTTACTCGAGTTTCTTTTCTCTATGAAATTTGTGAAACTCGTCATGAATTTCTCAATTCAACTCGCCAGAAGCTCAAGAAAAAACTATAGACTGAATTCCTAAATCTAGGAACTGGAAAATCATGCAAGAACTTGAGGGTATGTGTATAAAAACTCTGTATAAAGATGTGCTACCATTATTACCGTATCAGATTCAAAATACCCTGTTTTTCATAAGCATACCATATTCCAGCATTTTTAGTGCTATTCTGTTTCGATAAGATATCATAATGTAATATTTGACTTAAATGTACGTTTAGACGAAAATGATGCTACTCAGAAAATATGTTTATTATGATAAGCATTCAATTTTACGCTGTTATACAAAACATTGAACATGAATGCACTTTACCGTCCAGGGTACTGAGGTTGATAAAGACTTTCGGACATTGGAAGAAACTTTAGTCAGAGAAGTTACCGTGCTGAGGGCTCGAGTGCTGAGTGACTATGATATACCAATAAGACGAAAGCCAGGTAAGAGAAATGAGGAAATATTGATGTGGCAATACCATTTTTAAATGCAATAATAAAAGTCCATCCCTTTCATGCTTACAATCGTACGCTTCCTTAAGAAGGAAATGCACACTTAATGCCATTCCGTTGGTATCGGTTATCTATCATTTATGATTGCGTGAGAAAGTCAGCCATTTATTGTAACTTGATTGCGATAATAACACTATATTGTGTTATGATACCATCTGTGGCTTTATTACTTCATCTCATTAATGTTTAACATAATCTCTTTTAATCAATTGTAGACAAGTATCTATTCGGAACACCACTCTCTCTGATATCTTCGGATATGATTATGTCTCTAATGAAGAAATATTGTGAAGAGAACGATGTAAGGCTTTACGATGCCTTGGTCAATGCCGACAAACGCAAAGAAGGCGTTCTGTCCTCGTATGACTTCATAGAAGCCGTACAGGTAAATCAATAGACAAACTAAAAATCAAATAGCAATATATCTAAACACCATACTCTTCAAACATTCACAGAGTACTAGTGTTATTGTTGGTCGCACTGGTTTTCAATGAATTGATGAAAAAGTAATTTCTATAATACGTAAATGTTCCACGTGATGTTGTCTACTTTGCTTTGTTCCGTCATTAATGTTGTATATTCAAAGCATTTCATGTTCGTATTGAATACAGGTTCTTTTCTTTTACCAAGATATCATTGCAGCTTATCTTGTTTTATAAGGAACGTTATTTTCTCGTTTATTGAAACACCAGTCAGTCTTGCATCCAGTTGTTATAATCACTAATGACTAAATGGATCATTAGGTCAAATTCCAGTAAGTATTGCATTATCCGTTATATAACATCCACAACGTCGACAAAAATGTTCAGGTTTCTATGAATATCTGATTGATTGACATAATCGAACAGCGAGCAGAACCTTCAATACCGAACCAACATTACCGTACACGTCACACTTTCATCTGGGAATCGTATACTCACCAAAGTAACTGCAAATGTTCGTGCGGGTATGATGTAAACAGGATGTCATTTTAATCCCTTTCCTCACTCCGAGTCCTTTATAGTGTTATATTAAACAAAAGTAGAGATACAGTTTTTTCATCACCTCACTGGTAGATCAAAAGCAGCAGACATCCATTATTGATAAACATCGGTGATGTGTAATAAGTTTTTGTTCTAATGACACATCCGTCAGCAGGTTGCAAGACTTGCTATACCGTGTTATGTTTGATCATATGAAGGTCAGGGATACTAAAGTTGTTACACATTTTGTTCTGTTCGGATAAGAGTGCAGGAATAGAACTTTCCGAAAAACAGGGAGATAACTTGACCACATTTCTGGAAGGTGTAGCGAGTGAAGGCTTGGTTGACTACAGGTAAGAGAATTGAATATGTTTGTGCTTACAGTTGAAAGTAGGAATATAATTAGGAAAAAATTTTGACAAAATTTTGTATCATATTATTTTGTATTGAAATGGCCAAACACCAAACTCATTGCTGTAACTGAATAGGCATGTCCATCAGTCACCATATTAACAAAACGGGTACACGTGATCATGGCTTTGCTGTAGACAATATGTATGACATGATATTGAAAATGTGATCAATATTCAGTGTGATAGCTGTTAAAGACATAGTGTGGTTAAACGTTGAACATGTCATTAAATGTAATTAATGAAATTATATGCAACCAAAAACAAAAGAAAAATGAGGTCAATGCAGTAAAAACGTATACAATATCAAATTCCAAACCAAATTTGCTGTAAATTTGGATTGACGGTGTTACTGATTATTCGTTAACTTTAAAGATGTCTTTATCTTCTATTGTAGTCCCCTTAAGGGTAAGTATGTATGTACCATTATTATGTAAGGGTTTTAAACCTAAATCTTATCAGAGCATGCAATCCTGCCATAATTCACTTTGTCCTTACATGATGTACATTTAATATATAAAGAGTGGTGCATACACTAAGATTATTAACATTTTGATGCAGCATCGATGTTACACAGAACTTATCTAAATACAATGTACTACATTTTATTGTGCCTAGAAACCCTTCCGTATACGATTTTAAGATATGTGTTTTGGTACATTTCAATTTAAACCATCAATAAAACGATTTCGTAAATAAATACACACGTAAGGTTTACGGCAGCTTGTTTTTGATATCCTTCACACAGGTAAACAGACCACAGTCGCCGCAGTTGAATGAGATCGTCCACATCAGCTGCATTTAAGAACATCCATTTATTGTCAAATCAATCAAAACTATATCTATTTGTGGACATAATAAAAATATTCAGATTGTGACAACATTTTTTTTATTATACTGTTTTCCGTTTTTGGTATCACGATAAACTCCAACACTTTTATAAACTATTCATACAAAGATGTTAGGTACCCGTAGTTAAACTCGTTTGCATGCTATTCAGAAAGGTGACATTTTTAGCAAGATGATTCCGATTGAAAACAGTGAAAAAAGGTTTGGCAAGGATGGGGAGGATAATTACAGGTATCGAAGACAGTGAAAAATCGACATATCGGGATGGAAGTTACAAAAGACGAAAACATGTAGGTCGTATAGGTATGTAAAATGCTAATGGTACGGAAAGACATTAGGGGCATAAGGTATGTAGATGACAAGACGAGAGAGGGAGAGAGAGAGAGAGAGAGAGAGTTACTGGATCAAGAATTAATTACAAAACGGTGATTGATTAGACAGACGAGGACGGGTGTTTGTGTATCGCACAGACATGGATAAGAAAAATAGAGACAACTGACTTTGATGAGAGATAAATTTTTGAATATTTTGGCTCATTTTTCATGTGTATCTTTTTCTGAGTTACCTCCTTTTTTGTTTGCATGTGTGTGTGGGGGGGTGAAGGGGGAGGATGTGTGTGTGTGTGTGTGTGTGTGTGTGTGTGTGTGTGTGTGTGTCGGGGGGGGGGGGGGAGGAAGGGTGTGTGAGGGTGTGTGTGGGTGTGTTTTGAGTGTAGTTAAGGAGTTGTGAATCAGATATCAAATACCAGATCAGAAATATCAAACGTGCATACAGTGACTTTATGGGAGGGGAATACTTAATGAGACATTTCTATGGACGATGTCTAGATATTTCAGGTCAATTAAGCTGTGACATTGTATTTCTTCTTATATCCCAATACCATACCTTTAAATTTACATCCGGAAGTATAGTGATACTTAATAACATTTAAATGGACCTGAAAACGTACAATATGTCCAATTTGAATTCAAATTAAAGATACACAATATGATGCTTTCATATAGACAAGTAACGTTCCGCGACAGCGGTAACTAAATTATTTTGTTTAATCTCGATATAAACCTGATCGTTGGCATAACTTGGTGTGTAATTTAATCATATCGATTAAATGTGTAAACCAGGAATATTTGGTTGTTTGTTTTTCATTTGTGTGTATCCAGTATCATCGCTGGCATGTGGTTATCTGAAGACATTAGATGAATACTGTCCTGTTTATATGCAGTGCAATAAATCAAGTGTACTAAGTGCAGTAGGGATTAAAATTATAAGGTATTTAAATGTCAGTGTTAGTAATAACGGCATCTTAAACTGAGAGACTACCGATTGTATTGTTTAATCATGAAATGATTTGACACCCCGCCACATGTAACTCATTATGTTCATGTGGATTTACATTGTTTCCAAATTCTCATTGCATTGAAGAATAGCTTGTGCCAAGTAGGATTACTTAAAGAACAATGCTATCAATATTTATTGTTACATATCTTTATGATTCTAGCGATTCTTTTTGCTATGCGTTCATTCAGTTGGAGGTGTCTATTCAATAAAGGTATTGTCGACCAACCACTGAACATACCACAAAGGGACAGGCCTGGTAAGCTAGCTTCTACATATGCACTGTCATGGCGACATGTGTTCGTGACGTCACCCATCCGGGCAATCTTATCTTTATACATGTGGTAAATTGTATTAATGTGTGTTTAAATGAATAGAGTGGCACGGATATGAAAATGGCGTCTTTACTGTTTTTATTGAAGATTCCTGTATATATGGTGAGTATGTATAGAAAAAAATCATTGTATTTGTTGAAAGGAGTTTTGTCTGAACTAAATATTTCTATATATGTTATTTCAACTTATGTTTAAATATACGTGAAAATTAAACGTCAGTGTCGCAAACAATTAGTGTACATACACCTTCTTATAGATCATAGACTAATGAGATATAGTGTTTCGTGTGCCTATTATATATTTATAAAGAATTTCCAGCAGGAATTGCATTGTATAGATGTGGAGATTTGTTATCTCTGGATCTAGGTGCAAGTTATCAGATTATCTTGATCTTGTATGAATGTCAAATCATCACAAGATGTTCTTTATATAGTATTTTCCCTTATATAGTTGTAAGGGCATCACTTACTATCACCTGTTATCGCTATATGATGGACGGATAATTAGGTTATACTTCTAGAGTTTAATAGATAAAGCAATACATTTTCTGTCATATATGGAAATGGTGCATTTAGTACCCAAGTTTTTATCTTGTTTCATTCAGTGAAGTGTGTTAGGCTGGCAATGCAATGCTATCGTTTTTATATGCGTATATTTAAATATCATATCAATGTTAATGAATATCATTTATCAAGTTAGTATATTAACAAACGTGTACCTTCATTTACTCTATGACTGAGTCAATGGACAGCGTTATGCAATACTATACTTACTTGCATACGGTACGGGTGGAAGAAGCATTTAGTGGTAGTTTAAGTTACCACAAAATACAGGTGAATATTCAGAGGTAATCTTTTTAATTTGTTACCGCTGTCATTAATCAAAGTATAACGTTTCTCTTCAAATAATGATTCCAATTAATTAAGTCTAAAACATATCAGGGGTCCAGTCAATAGTCGCGTCTTGTTCATTCGATGTCTCTCCTACACATCCAGTCAATAGTCTTGTCTTGTATCATTCAATGTCTCTCCTACACATCCAGTCAATAGTCTTGTCTTGTATCATTCAATGTCTCTCCTACACATCCAGTCAATAGTCGTGTCTTGTATCATTCAATGTCTCTCCTATACCCCCAGATAATAGTCGTGTCTTGTATCATTCAATGTCTCTCCTACACATCCAGTCAATAGTCTTGTCTTGTATCATTCAATGTCTCTCCTACACATCCAGTCAATAGTCTTGTCTTGCATCATTCAATGTCTCTCCTACACCCCCAGTCAATAGTTGTGTCTTGTATCATTCCATGTCTCTCCTACACCCCCTGTCAATAGTCGTGTCTTGTATCAATTGATGTATCTCCTACACTCTGTCTATCGTTGTGTCTTTATCTCCTACACCCCCTGTCAATAGTCTTGTCTTGTATCAATTGATGTATCTCCTACACCCCCAGATAATAGTCGTGTCTTGTATCATCCAATGTCTCTCCTACACTCTGTCTATAGTTGTGTCTTTATCTCCTACACCCACAGATGATAGTCGTGTCTTGTATCTCCTACACCTCCAGTCAATAATAGTGTCTTGTATCTCTTATTCCTCCAGGCAATTGTCGTATCTTGCATCATTCGATGTCTCTCCTGCACTTTCATTAATATAGCTTTCACACATTATTACAGGGTACATGTTTGATAGAATCGTAGCTAAGGACATATCAGCTTGACAGAGGCTTAAATCCTAACAAGTACAACTCCCGTATATGAAGGAAATGATGCGATGAACAAAATCCTAGATCTGTCCTTAAGGTAAGTATATGGTTTCATTTCAAAATTAAAAAAAGCAAAAACAAAAAACAATGATTGGTATATTGATATGTGCCATTTTCAAGCAAATCCTTTATATGTAAATCTTTATGATTCCTTCCTTATAAATAGCTGTAAAAACGTTTTCAATTTTCTGTTTAGACAATGCAAATAAATGGTTTTATTTGGTTATAACCATGTTAGCATACCATCTGTTTAAAAGTCATTCTGACAAATCGATAAATACCTCTTTGATATTAGACTATACCACGATTAGGTCTAGTGTTGCGGTTTATAATATGGGTAGAAGTAAAAGATGTACTGAGTAATGTTAAATGAAACGAAAATGTAATGATGTAGTCAGACTTTGGATTAACATGGATGCCCGTCCTGTAAATTGTATTGTACCACATGAATAATTGTACGATACCGACATGACAATGGGATAGATAATGCCCGTTAAAGCTATATACCATTCTCATCACGTTACACATAATCAAACTTGTCCAGCGAACAATGTCAGAAACAAACGCCCAATATAAGAGCAGTCATTTAGAACTACCTCGTGGCCGTCACGCTTGCGCAATTCAATTCTAGTTGATAGATCTCACCTTTGGACCAACTGAGTGTACATGGGCATGGACTAAGTCACAATGATATACAGAAATGTTACTGGGATAAGGGTTAGTTAACATATACTTTACATATAAACTAGAGCATGGCGTAATTCTGTAATAGATAGAATTACCAATATATATACATGTTTTGGAAAAGAATCAAAAGTTTGTCTTACAATTAAGCATGGCTATGTGGGCCTGATTAAAATGTAGTTTAGACATATGCCAGATGCGACGTAGAGATAATTCAGTTTAAATACTCGCCAAAAAACATCTCCATATTTAAAACAGTCCTATAGGCAGGTGTACAAAAATGCTTTGTCATGGTGTAAGAATTGAAAGAATGACTTGATGTGATTTTAGCGAACAACGACAGTAGACGTAAAATCAGCGGTCAGGCAGATCACATCCTATCTATGAATTGCTTGTCTACAATAAAATAATTCTCCAATGGGTATACCCCAAGATACTTTTCTAAAATGATGCAATTTCTTTTGGAGTTAGCTTTGAGTACTTAATTACTCTAGTGCTCCCTTACTGTTAGACATAATTCCTCACTGGTTGCGATATAAGAATGTCTATTGTAAATAGTGCCCTAATGTATTTTGTTTGATATACCCAAGTTATAAACTCAAACATGTATCGCTCCTGTGGATTCTAATATTCTTATATTAACTCTATCCTACAATCGATATCAATATACGTATGGCCAAAGATTAATATGGGTAGTCCGATTGCTCAGTGGTAACGCTGTTGCCTTTCATCTGGGCTTCCGGGCCTCGAATCACGGAACAAACGGGAAAAAGTATAGGGGCACCTACCCGACCATGTGCTGTTCCGGGTACCCCAGTTTCCTCCCACAATAAGATCCTTCGCTTCCATCAGGGCCAACAAGAGAGATTAATATAAGTTGGTAAAAAATGGTTCGCAGTTATCGTAGAATACATAAACATTAAAGAGGAATTCTCATCTTTTTGCTTATAAACTCTAATCGTTATTAAATGTTCGCAATTTCATTTATTTCTGTGTGTACTTGAAAGACCAACAGAAAATACTTTCATTATGAAGTAGAAAGCTATGTTAGATACTAATAGTAGTGCCAATATGTCTAAGGAGTAAATGTTTCGATGTATTACGCTATGTGAGGTACTGCTAGTAGTGCCAATATCTCAGTAAATATATTAGATGTATATTTCTGCTGTAGTGTTCAGTGATAATTAATTAGCTTTGTAATAATACTTGAAATCAGTAGCAATATCAAAAGAAAAATTCTAAAAATTGGAATTTTTTAATTTTTAGTTTCCAATGTGACATATACGAAACCACAATTTGCGCCCGTTCTCAGTGAACAAATGCACAAATGCCGGGGACGGGATCCGCCGGAAGACCAACTCTTGTCAAGCCGCCTCGTCTCCCATCCTCCACCAAACTCCAAAAAGGTTTGGAAGATGGAGGAAAAGGAGAAACGATCAGGAAGGCGACTTCCCGTATCGGAAGCGCCGTCAGTGTCGCGAGTACATCGCGCATGTCCGAAAAGGATGCTGCTGGTCTCATTACTGACTTGACTCGTCTCAAAGCGATCACACATGATATACGTATTCCAGCTAAAGAGTTGCCTCATAGGCGAGCCATTGACCTTGAGGATAGGAATGATGATGGTTTCGAATTTAACGATGGTGTCTTTCAAACAGAAGTTGCCTTGCCAGAAGAGCAGCTTGATATCGTCAAGCGATGGCAGGAAAATACGGAAGTGTCAGACGATGAATCTAACATAGACGATGATATTGAAGATGTTTTTGGTGAGGATGTTTTATCAGTGTCGTCTTTAGGAACAAATCCAGACGATGACGCAGACAAGTACGATACTGATCTCGAAGGGGATGTCGCTGGTAAGTGTTTACATATTGACATATACAGCAATGTGTTGTTATATGATTACTAAGATAAGTACATCATCCTACGTGTATACAGTTAAGTTAAAAGAAGCGACTACTAACAATTGCAAGTTTTTGAATTGACGCATTTTATTTTACTTTCAATGAAGCAACATATTTTAACGAGACAGACATTATTACCATTAATCCAATTTAGAGATAAATATTTCTCTTGTAGAAACAAATTACGTTTGTCAGAATATGTCAGAATGTTGACTTGTGTCATATCTAGATGTATTTAGCACTTTGCTTGAGATCTTGAATGATGCCCACAATTCATGACAGGAAAAAATTAATCACGTTATGTCTTGCTGTATTTCAGACATGCCAGGTTCAGAAAAGCTGGAAGAAGACATGACTCCAAAAGGACGTTATTTAAAAATATGTGAAGATATGGGCATTCAGCCTGCCACCTACTTCATCAAACATATGTCAGAAACTGAACTCGTTATGAAGTTTCACGGACTTGGACCGATAGGCATGAAGGCCATGGCTGAGTCTTTAATGGTATGTCAGGCACAGACTAAATCATGGCGTTTGGTTATCTCTGGTAGGATCTAATATAACGCTATGGTGATTAGTGCAGTAAGATCAAGTAGTGGTGTGTAATTATCGAAAGACAGAATTTACAAGAAATCTATTGAATTATGCTTCTGCCTCTGTAATGATGTTCTTAAGATTAAATAATACTATTAGATATTATATTAATTCAATCGTCACACTATCAAATAACTTTATCAAGACTGCACTGTTTGCCACGATACATTGGACTTTCGTCTATGGCGTTGTATATAAAGCGTTTTGCACACTCTAAATACCCGATACACGTGTTGTATATACGCGATTCATTAAGCACATTGTGTATACTCTCTACATGATACACGTAATGTAATATACTCACTTCGCGATACACGTGTTTACACTCAATTCCTTCGTGCGTCGTATATACTCTGTTCACGATGCTTGTATTCATTTTACCCGTTTTGCACTTTTCCCAATATTTAATTGATATTATACATTATCCTGGTTTCTATTGTTAGATATTACCTAAACTCACTTTATGAAAGACAATGCATTTCCGCATATCATTTGCAATTGCATAGACCTTTACTCTGTTCATGATAAACATTGGCGTGTCTTTGTCATTTAACGAACACACGGCATTATCGTTTGTGGTTGATTATTGGGTAGGTCAATTTCACAAAACAAATGAACCTATGTTCTATGGTTAGATACTGGGTTGCTGATTGTAGACATATTTTACCATGTCAGAAATATACATGGTCATGTCTGTTATGGTTGGATATTGGGTTGTTGAATGTAGATATACTTTTACCTGTGTCACAATACACGTGATCATGTCTGTTATGGTTAGATATTGGGTTGTGATTGTAGATATACTGTTTACCAATGTCACAATATACATGGTCATGTCTGTTATGGTTGGATATTGGGTTGTTGAATGTAGATATACTTTTACCTGTGTCACAATACACGTGATCATGTCTGTTATGGTTAGATATTGGGTTGTGATTGTAGATATACTGTTTACCAATGTCACAATACACATGGTCATGTCTGTTATGGTTGGATATTGGGTTGTTGAATGTAGCTAGACTTTTTATCCATGTCACAATACACACGGTCCTATCCGCTATGTTTGGATATAGGGATGGTGTTTATATATATTCATTAATCTACTCAACACAATATGTTAGATACAGATGTATTCATATATGGCTCAATATGTTTTGTATTCATCAACTTTTCATGTATAATCAAACACTGATAAACTCGTTTCGTCACTGTTTTAAGTTGGGTTCTCAGTTATGGCAAAACTAGAAAAATGTACATACTTATAAGGAAGGCTCACATAATTTTGATAACAATACATAATTATAAATACACTCACTAAATATTATGTTTATTTTTGTGTGATTTTCTATAAAATTGTCAGGTGTAGTATAACTTGTTCAGAAGATCAACATGCATATATATATATATGAATTAGTATGCTACTTGACACTAGCATTACATCAGAATTGATATATTGTTCCATACAAAAGTTTCAGTAATACACTGATTGTTTTTCAATCCAGATAAACACAATATTAGAAAAAATCGACCTGGAGGGGAACTACATTCTAGGAGAGGGCACATCGCACTTGACTAGAGTCTTAAAAGAAAACGTATACGTGACAGAATTGGTGAGTCGTACTGTAAAACATTGAAAATATAAAATGTGTACTTCTACAAAACGGAATATAAATCAAACTTGTGAAAGTATCATTTGGAACATGGTGGAATTTATTCTTCTACAAAATCGGATATAAATATGATTTTCATGATAATCACAATATTGTAAGTAACATGACTGTGATCTTTGATACAAGTACTATATTGCATTGTTATACTATCATCTTGAATTGTTGTCATGCTTGTATATATCTATTGTTGCAGGGCCATATTGTAAACTAGACATTGTCTAAATATGTAACCCTGGTTAAATAATAATAATAAAAAAAAACAAAACAAAAAAACAAAAATAAAAATAAACTAATAAAGTATGATTTGGAATCTGTTGAAAATGTTGATGTAAGTGTATAGCCTTATTTGAGACGGATACTTAATAAACACTGATAAGGTAACTTAAGGGAACTTTACTAGCGTATTTTATTAACATGTGTTAACATCCCCGGCTTCCTTAACAGGTGCTAACGGACAATAAAATGGGCACCGAAGGGGCTAAAGCAATATGTGAACTTCTCAGTGAGAACAAGACGATTATACATCTGAATCTTTCAGGTAAATACAAATTGAACGTGATTAATTCTTGTCGACGGTGGAGCGATATAAATGAATAAAAAAAGTAAAAGATACCGTTTATATAACATATCATAAAAGAAGGTAATTATAAGATATATCTATGTAGACAATGGTCATCGATTATGTAAAATGTTCATGCAACCAAAGGATTTAATTGTTAATTTGATTATAAAGCGTCTTTAATCGTTCTGTCATCGACTTCCATATATCATCTTACTATGATTACTCTCTATTATACAGGGAATGACATTGAAGACAGTGCAGCAGAGTACTTCTACGAAATGCTAACGGTAAGTTATGTAATAAGACAAGTAATTACTTCTGTCATAAAGAACAAAAGTAACCTGTATCTATCTTAACATTATAAACTTTAGCAATGGGCATGTAAGATCAATAGTTATAGGAATACAGATCCTTGTCAGGCAATTTTAAATTCGACTATTACATCAACATTTCATATGAAGTATCGATTATTTTTTGTCAAAATGTGTTCATATTTAAGAATTTAACGGCAGTTTCACTAGTAATTATCGTTACAGAAATACATATGCCAATATGGGTTAATTTTAAGAATTGTAAGGACTTGTATGGAACATCAAATAAATTTCCTTTGAGTACAAAATTATTTTAGGAGAAAATAATATTTTAGTCCCGCAATAACGTTCAAACATTGTCTGCTTTCTGGCTCGCGTTAACAAGATGGCGGCGTCGAGGAGTTCGAGCCGAAGTAGAGTAGTGAATCGGCAACAAATGTTTGTTGATCAGAGGTCTTTTCAATTCATATAACTAAAATTGTGAATTACCCTTACGAATAATTTGCATGGGACATTCATCAATGACAAGGTTAGGTAATTGATCGGAGTTTTATATATGCTTATCTTTTTATAAAATGTTTTTCCCAGATCGCTATATCATATGTCAAAGGACCCCCAAAATGCACAGCAGATATATATAAATACCTATTATCGGTTTACTTGTTAAATATGGATTTACGTAATAATAGTTTTTATGGTAATGACTTTAACTACTATAGAACAACTGATCCGAATACATATTGACTAAACTAGATGATCTGACCACACGAGAACATGTCCATGGTTTACCTCCCGAAATATTTGGATCATATGTGCGTTTGAAAGTGTCCGTGTTGCAAATCATCTAAACGACCCGGAAGTTACTCCAGAAATTTTATCAGTTACTTTTTATAAATTAGCTGCATATGTACTATGCACTGTAGAGCAAACAGTCCATAAATACGATACTGCATACACATCCCGTCATTAATCGTATCTTGTATCATTCGATGTCTCTCCTACATCTCCACTCATATCTTTTTTACTACGAAACTGGTGAATATGAAAATATTTACCAAGATCGTTTCCTTGTACACAGGTTTTTCTTTAACATGTGTTTTTGTCACCGGACCCTTTGGCCAATATTAGGATACTTTAAAAAAGTGTATCATTTCTTGGACACAAATATGTAAATACCTATCAATGGTACGCTTGTAGTAAATGAAAAAGAAACAAGGTAACCTGACCGTAAAATCATTTTTATCCACAGAGAAACGCTGCGATAAAGACCTTGCTGCTCCAACACAATAGTTTCGAAGAGAAAGGAGCGGAATGGTTCGCCATGGCTTTGAATGAAAATGTATCCTTGGAGTCTCTAGACCTCAGTTGGTGTCATTTCCAAACCAAAGGATGTGTTATGATCGTTGAAGCTTTGAGGGTAAGACTGTATACATTTAATGCCAATTTATCTTTGAAAAATATTCTTGCTGGTCGTTAAATTAAAGAAAAAAAATCATCATAATACAGCTATTTGGAAAGGAAGGCAAAATGATCTATGTCTCACTATCTCGTTGAACGTATGAATTACACACGTAAAATAAAGTCTGAATAGAGATGGACAATGATATTGCACCAGTACATTACAATATTACTTTGAACAGTGTATTGTATTAATGTACTGTTAAGGTAATATATTTGGTATACATTGATGGCTCTTTCAAAGGTTTATGGGTAAATGATGTTGTTCCAAGACCTTATGTGGATATAAGAAAAAATAAAGATTCAAGAAAGAACAAAAGAAGTAATTCTAAAAGTGTTCGCATGAAGTCATAACTGGTGAATCGAACAGGAAAAGTATCTAATCATTCGAAAAACTTATTTTTCACGAATCACATTTTTTGGTAATCTATCTGCATGACACGTGTTGATTCATGTTGTACGGGTCAGAATATACACATGTACTTGACGTTGTTTTCAAATGATCAGATATATGTTAATTGCGAAATCCATTGCATCATGAGTAACAGCACCTTCCCATGTAGATTTTGACTTCTCTTTCTATCACTTTGAATTTTCCGCAGTCGTCTCTTCAAAATTTAGTTCTTTAGCATCACTGACAAGCCTTAGGAGAACAGAACACATGTATGATGTAATTTGATTCATTGTCTGGCTCTAACGTATCCAACTCTTAAGTTATATTATTATACAATGAAAAGCCAAAATGACGTGTCTAAAAATCTCGTATGAAATATAAACGCAATAATTCATGATCCTTTATTATAATCTAATCGATTATATAGCAATATCATGCTTTTCCGTGATATTCCACAAAGTATCTTGGCTCTTTATCCGTTGTTTTCATTGTGAAGTGATGATAATCAAAATGTGCTGGTGTATGAAAGAATGCCAAAACAGCATATCAATTTTTTAACACAATTACCACATGATAAATAGCGATATTAAAATGTTAGCAATTCCAATTTACATGCAATCAAATAATTATAGGATTTTGTCTTGTTTCGCTTTAGGAAAATGTTGGACTAAAATACTTCGACATTAGTATGAACGGTTTCGGTCTGGAAGGCGCAAAAGCGATGGAGGAGACCCTTAAGGAGAACAAATACCTTATCAAGTTAAACCTCAGTTACTGCCGCATCCCACTAGAGGGCACGCCACACATCGCTGCTGGGCTACAGACAAATGACACGCTAGAGGAACTTAATGTAAATATTGATATTTAAAAGTAAACTAATGTCATTCTCCTGTATACTATGGAATTGATACATATTATGACTTGCTTTAACACTTCATCAAAATCAAAGAATTTTCCCATAAATTAGAACGAACGGAGAGCGCTTATACGCCGTTGCCCTTTTATTCATATATAATTTCATAACTTGTATATCAAGTATAACACTAAGATTGAAACAGACCGTCCATGCATCCCAAGGATTTTCCTTTGTCTATGAGTTTGAGGTCATTATGTACTATTAATGAAAATATCAATAGCAATCTATCAGCTCGTAATAAATAACACATGTCTATTGCAGATTGGTTTTAATCCGCTGTCAGCAGAAGGGGGCTTTGCGATACTGGTCGGAATCGAGAGGAATACAACAAAAATATTAAAGCTGATTGATTTTGGGGTAATGTTCCATATATCATATTTGGTATTTTGATCGATTCACATTCGAGATTTTTCACTACACTGACAAACTTATTTTTGAACATCATAATGCTTAAATACTTTGTTTTGAAGAAGGGTTGCTGCTGTGTAAATGCTGATCATATTCTGTAATATTTCTTTCAGAATCTTATGATAAGGAAAAATTTCAAAGAATTATGTGATAGGCTGAGGGAAGACCGGCCAATCAAAATAAAGTTTGGTGGCGTGCTAAGTGACCAGCCCCGAGCGAAGAAGAAGGAAGATGACCCGCTTACCAAACTACTTAATGACCCGCTCAACAAGCTCAAGCGGTTCGTGGAGGAGGCAGGGTACAGAATGATCGACCTCTTGAAACAGTTTGACACTGACAACAGCTGGACGATATCATTAGAGGAACTTCAGGAAGGTGTAAAGGTAACTTAATTTTATGAATAAATAACATTTTACGAGAATGTTCGAAAAAGCATAGAATAAAATAGAAAATAGGATATACTTAGTTGTTAAAAGTAGTTCCCCATTTGTGATATAAAGCACATTTTCCGATAATGCTGTGATCTATTGTTTCCTAATTTCACATCCAAATAATGATATTGCAGCAAGTTCATATACATCGTTTTATGATATTTTATTGTGTAATTATCCATATTATTGTCTAAGTGTGCCTTCATCACAATCAAAATCAACACAGTAGAACTTAAAATGTATAATCTTCATTTCAGAAAACTGGCATTGATTTGTCAGACCCTGAAATAAACGAGCTGATGAAGCGCTTGGATAAGGATGGAAATGGAGAAATTGACTTCAGGTAGGTGTTACCTTCGTACGTAATAAACCTTGAATTTGTGTGCTGCAAGGTAATTGTGTTTCTGTTAATGTTCAGTAAGAACCCATGGTATGTTTGCGTATTATTTATGTATAGAAGGTGTTTAATGCTTTCACGTTCGATATCTAATATATATCATGAGTGTGACGGAGAATCAATAGTTTTCACAAGTGTGGTGGACAACTGTAAAATACCGGTATATTTTTCATACCAGTTAAATATGTAAAAATGTATGGTACTCAGTCAATGAAATAAAGGTATTGTGCTTAAAAATTGTGATGCTTTTAACAAATGTGTGCTTTGTCCTTTTGTAGTGAACTGATTGAAGGCGATAATGAGAATCGTTTGGCTAGAAGAGAAGTGAAAAAGTATGTGGAGGAAATGCAGCAAAAGGAAGAACAGAAGGAGAAGCTGGCCAGTGGCGCTGACCCGAAATCTTACATGCAGTTATTGGAAGACACGAGTGCATAGTATCTGTGACACGTATTCTTTATTCTCTCACATATTCTTCCCTGACTGCAGTACTTTATTTAATGGTGTCAGTGCCATGGATATATCTGGAGAGTACAATAGGGACCTCTTACCTCGGACACGGTGACATTCCTATGATTTATAGCAGGACATTTGTTTTTCTAAGAACATTCTGAAGTGTAGAAGGAATTCACAAATAAATTCATGAAATTCGCAACGAATTTTATTGCAAGGGAATCATGTTTTCATACATGAATGTTGATCCTTCGATTGTTCTGTTAACATGTCACAAAATGTTCAGTGATGTATACGAAGCATCATCCCTCCTATTCTGTAGTTCAATAGAAGATTCAACCAGAAATTATGTCAATACCTTTTGTATAGTTTGATTTTAGTGATAAATTGTGTCCACTTTGCACTCTTCTTGGAAATAATTGGTGTGAGATGCTCCATCATAGAAGGAAAGATATTTTAACAGAAAAAGGTCACAAATAACAACATATGTAAAATGGACACCGTTGATCCGCAAATGTGACAGATATGTAGATTTCCTCAGAGGAAGTGATGACGTATCAGAAGAAAGGAGAGGTTCGGAATTGTAAAATTGCATAAAAATGATTAAGCATTAATTAGGTCATTTCATTTCAGAAGTTTGTTTCATATCGTTCTATTTAACAGTCTTTGTGTTAACTTATTATCTCTTTCACAAACCGGTGTCATAATAAGACATTTCGAGATAGCTTTACGATCAGCAAGGATGTCGGAATATGTTTTCTTAAAAGAATTATACACCTCGGCCGCTCGATAAAATTTGATTCGCTTCCTCAAATTTTTGGAAGTAAAGAAATCGAGTCACTGCTAATTATATGTCAGTGCGAACAGTATTTGGTACATGCTTGTTTCGGAGAACATTTAAATGGTTCAATGACATTTCCCCCTTTAAGATGGATTTAGAAAATGTAGATAAGAAAATATGTACAAAATTCATAATAAAGATACTCTTACCTCGAAATTCTTTAAAACTAAAAAATAGTAATTGTCACTTTATCTTTATCAAATGTTATCAATTGCCTATCAGTATTGGAGAAATATGAGTTTAAAGATAATATGTTTGTGATGTTTTCTAATTTCGTATGTGTATCATGGATTTGATGAATGTTAACTTGTTAAGATATTAGTTTTGTTTTCTTCTGTAATCATGTTTATTTATTACTATGTACCCTAGGACTGTCAGTGGCTATGACCACACACAGTTATACCTTGTTTTTAAGGGAAAATGTTATGATAACTAAGATTATTTGTATTGTATACAAAATACGTTTACCTATGCTTTGAATGGTTGAAGGTAGGATGAATGTTTCGCATGTGCATAAGACGAATGGTTCTCATGTAGCAGTTTTGTCCTCTGATTAAAGTCTGTGATACTGGAACTTTGCCAAATAAAACAAACACTGTACAATGAAGATAATAAAATATATACATTTATCGTATGTATCAGTGTCTTACTCCTTTGACTTGTATCGTGCATCAGATATCACGTGTATACACGTGGGTATCACATTCCGGTTTGAATAGAGAGCAGTTATAATGGACACAAAATACAATCTTATGAGAACAGCGCGTGATGATAACTTTGTCGGCTTGAAATATGATTATAAATTAGTTTAATTGTAATTAAAATCCCAAGCCCTAACATATAATTAATACATAAAGTGGATAGAGGGTTTGATGTTTAAATACCATTTATACAGTGCATGGGCACAGTCTTGTCGTTATAAATATTTATATGCCCCGTCATTAATTTGTAATTAAGTATAAATGGAATGAATTTGGATTAGATCTTTGTTTGGTATCTCATTTTATCAAGTATGTCTATAAACAAATTTTTAAATGCACCTATAATTTCGTGAAATTGGTTTTATCAAAGCAGGAATAAAGATGTAATCGAAGCCGAGAATAAGTTTATCTGGAACAAAACAGACAAACAAGGAACTGTTGCATTAACACATCAGATTACAAACTTTGACGTATAAAAGAACAAGAAAAAAAAAAAGAGGAATGAAGAAAAAAATGGGGAAAATAGTCAAGTAGTTTAGAGTATGTTATTATCTTCCTGTATATCATTATCATATCAAAAGCAGAGTATCTCAGTTGTATCTTTTACATCTATCTTCGTATCCTCCCCTCACTCCCATCCCTGGCAACCAAACACACTAAAAACAGACACGCTCGCCTGCATATAGATATTGTTCTTTTTGGATCAAATAACAACATATCTGCAAGTTACATATATTTCGTTACGTACAAATTGGTATTCTTTATAAAAATGTATCTGAATAGATTTTTCATAGCTTCTATACCACCTAGTCCTTATCTGACATAGTAATAAGATGCCAAAAGTTGACAGGACCAGACTACGAAATTCAAAATTTTGGAAATGGCTGCAGGACGAATTTCGGCAATGAAGAATTATTCCAGAATGTAGAATATAAAGGTTTGCTGATTCGATTTAAACATCGAGATCCTCAATACTAGTATGTATTATTAGAACTAGAGATCGAACTCTAAATGTGCGTCATTGCTGACCAAAATTGGCTGTCGAGATGATACTCCTGTCATGTGCCAATTAAAAAAGGAGTGAAACAGGTCGGTCACTGATATGGGTTACCTTAGCCATAGTTCTTTACAAAGTTACTAGTTATACTAATGTTACATAAAAAAATGAAGATAATTGCCTGTTAAAAAAGGTTTGGCAAAGCTTAGACTCCAGCTGGATGTGATTGAGAAGAATAACAATGCTATAACAACATCGGACACGATTGTCTATGTTCACTAGTTTAAACTGTAATCCTATACTACACCGTCTGTAATACACACTCTATCAGATCAAAGTTCATCCGTAAGACTCCAAAATCAAGCAACGTTGTAATATTAAATTGCAATCAATAAAATGGGCATAAAATGGACATTTGTTCAAGTAAAAAATAACAATATATACCTCACTGTATATACTAGATCAGTGATAATAGGTCAGTCACACTATTACAATATATACCTCAATATGTGTGTTAGGATGGTCACACTGTTACGATGTATACCTCAATATGTGTGTTAGGATGGTCACACTATTACAATATATACCTCAATATGTGTGTTAGGATGGTCACACTGTTACAATATATACCTCAATATGTGTGTTAGGATAGTCACACTTACAATATATACCTCAATATGTGTGTTAGGATGGTCACACTGTTACAATATATACCTCAATATGTGTGTTATAATGGTCACACTATTACAATATATACCTCAATATGTGTGTTAGGATGGTCACACTATTACAATATATACCTCAATATGTGTGTTATAATGGTCACACTATTACAATATATACCTCGATATGTGTGTTATAATGGTCACACTATTACAATATATACCTCAATATGTGTGTGTTATGTGTGATGGTCACACTATATACAATATATACCTCAATATGTGTGTTATAATGGTCACACTATTACAATATATACCTCGATATGTGTGTTATAATGGTCACACTATTACAATATATACCTCAATATGTGTGTTAGGATGGTCACACTGTTACAATATATACCTCAATATGTGTGTTATAATGGTCACACTGTTACAATATATACCTCAATATGTGTGTTAGGATGGTCACACTGTTACAATATATACCTCAATATGTGTGTTAGGATGGTCACAATATATACTGTCACACTGTTACAATATATACAATATATATACAATATATATATGTGTGTTAGGATGGTCACACTGTTACAATATATACCTCAATATGTGTGTTAGGATGGTCACACTGTTACAATATATACCTCAATATGTGTGTTAGGATGGTCACACTGTTACAATATATATGGTTGCCTCGCCTCTATACATGTACATCAACGTGTGTAAGCTTGGTGTCCACAAAGTTATATTATATAAATCAATATGTGTAAACTTGGTGGCCCCGCCTTTATACATGTACATCAATGTGTATAAACTTGGTGACCACACCGTTATATTACATACATCAATGTGTGTAAACTTGGTGGCCACAACGTTATATTACATACATCAATGTGTGTAAACTTGGTGGCCACAACGTTATATTACATACATCAATGTGTGTAAACTTGGTGGCCACAACGTTATATTACATACATCAATGTGTGTAAAATTGGTGGCCACAACGTTATATTATATACACCAACGTGTGTAAGCTGAACCACACCGTTATATGCCTACATATTTGTGAGCTTGGTCGGCCACACTGTACTTTGGTACCTATATTAAATGTCTTGAGATGGTGATAATTATCCTGTAAACATGTTAGGCAGAAGTTCACCGCGTGGCGGGAGGCCGCCAAAATATTCGTTAAAGATCATGTTCTTTAGTTCAGGCAGATATATTAAAAAAATCCTGAACTATCTGATAAACGCGATTATCCGATAGCAGTTATCTTAAAATCGATCAAGGCATGATGAACTATGCGTGTGCTAAACTTATAGGGATATAGGAAGGGAAACAACTCTTGTGTCTTTGCATGTTAACGACTTCCAGGACCGATCGATTTTACACTAATATCCACACTATTTGCTAATTACATAGAATCAGAAGTACTTTAAAACAGGATTCTTATAAGAATTGTATCGAATGTAGGATTATATTCATCAAATTACTTCGATATTTTTTGTAAAATTCGTGACGATATAAAATCGAAAATTGCGTTTTATGTCACTCTGTATATCTTTCTTTGGTGACGTCACATTCGATACAAAAATTTAATTTTTAGGAAAAATCTTACGCTTGATTCAATTTTAGATAACACTGACAAAACTTAAGAATTTTTGTTTGTTTGTTTGTTTTTTTTGAACTTCTAAGAAGAAAACGAAAATAACCAGCTTCGTAAATTTCATATGAAATGCAAACCCACGAAATTGACCACTCACTCTGTGTATCTAACCTAT